CTGTTTCTGTTTCTGATTCTTTCTCTGTCTGCTGTCTCCACTGTCTTTCGTCTCTGTCGCACTCAGACTTAATAAAATCCTTGACAGAGTCAATATCAGAAAAGTGTTTCCTTCTATGAAGTCCGAGCTTCTTGGTAAACCTTTTAAGTGTCCGCTCACTTATGCAAATGTTATGCTTCAATAAAATAATTGCAAGCATTTCATGCTGTTGAAGGCCTAAACTAAAATATTGTTCAATCAGTTCATTAATGTCATATTCCATTATGTGTCCTAAAGCTCAAACCCCTTTCTACCTGCCAATTCTTATCAAAAATATGTCTACAGCAGAAACACCCCTACATCAACAGTTGGTTGGGTTGTGGTTGCCGTAAAATTATAACAAACTATAATAAGCACATTCGAGAATAAAGTCGAAGTACTTCGAGATTAAAGTCGAAGTACTTCGAGCGAGAATAATGTCGAAGTACTTCGAGAATAAAGTCGAAGTACTTCGAGAATAATGTCGAAGTACTTCGAGAATAAAGTCGAAGTACTTCGAGATAAAAGTCGAAGTGAATGAAAGACAAAAAGAAACTGGAATGTCCCTTCAGGGCCGTCGTATTTTGCCCCAAATACGATAATTTTGGACTCCTTGTACGATAATTTACGCCGGCCAATCTGGCAACACTGGATAGTGAGATAGTGATAGTGATCACTTTTCATTTTTTTCACACGGAGCACTGGGAGCAGTGGGAGTGTAGTGGAGTGGGGAGTGGTGCTGGGCTGCTGGCACCATCGACATATAAACTAACTGGATCGGCAGCTAGGCTCCGCGACCCGAGCCAACGCCCGGGGTTGCGTTTTAGATTTTGCAGGCGTCATGTGGGATTAAGCGACTCGCTGCGCCACATCTTAGCATTGTCGCGGCCAGGACGATGCACTTTATCCAGCCCTTTACTCTCTACTAAAACGATGTAAGGCATTTTAATAATCAATTTTCATGAACTTTTGTACAAGTAATAAAAGTGTAAAAATAACCCTGTAAATAACCGAGTTTTTTTAGTTATTAATTACAACAGTTAATAAATATTAACTGACGGCGAATATTTCACACTGAGGTTCCTTAAGAAATATAATTTAAATTCCGATTTTAAATTTTTAAGGATGGAATCTATATAAATATACAGGGTGTCCCGTAACTCTCTGGACACTTGTATATAGCGTTATTCCTTAGGTCAAGACAAACACATTTCACCATAGGAACATGGGTCTGTGGTGTCTAGTTTACCGACTGTCGGTATTTATGTGTTTTTTACAAAAAAACTAATAACTCCTAAACGGTTTGAGATACAGCTTTGATATTTTGCAAAAATGTGAATCTTATTAAGACCTATTATCGTTAGAAATTATACTAAAAAACCATTAACCGTTTCAAAATGGCGGCCATTTAAAATATTTGATGCCAAATTTCACGAAAACCGTTAACTTTACAAAAAAATTGCAAGAGACAAAAAAGTTTGTAAATTTTATGTAATTTTCAATGATACCTGATTTGTTAAGATTGGATAAATAATAACAGAGAAACGTGTTGTTTTCTAAATGTATGACCACTTTTCTCCATTTAAACAATGCTAATACTCCTTTTACGTTGTTTAGCATTGTTTAAATGGAGAAAAGTGGTCATGCGTTTAGAAAAGAAGACATTTCTCTGTTATTATTTATCCAATCTTAACAAATCAGGTATCATTGAAAATTACATAAAATTTACAAACTTTTTTGTCTCTTGCAATTTTTTTGTAAAGTTAACGGTTTTCGTGAAATTTGGCATCAAATATTTTAAATGGCCGCCATTTTGAAACGGTTAATGGTTTTTTAGTATAATTTCTAACGATAATAGGTCTTAATAAGATTCACATTTTTGCAAAATATCAAAGCTGTATCTCAAACCGTTTAGGAGTTATTAGTTTTTTTGTAAAAAAACACATAAATACCGACAGTCGGTAAACTAGACACCACAGACCCATGTTCCTATGGTGAAATGTGTTTGTCTTGACCTAAGGAATAACGCTATATACAAGTGTCCAGAGAGTTACGGGACACCCTGTATATTAGATACAAATAAGTTATCGTTGGTGTTGCACCTTATTACAGCCGTATTCAATTTAATTGATGTCTTAACTGTACCTATAAGTTTTGCTTTTTCTGTCTGGATTCCAAAATGTTCGTTTATGCTAAGACAATGATAACTCATTTTAGTAAAACATTTGTTCAGCAAACCATCATGAATCGTTACGATTTACGTTGTTCATGTATCAATAGTTCGTGGCCTATTTTGGTAATTTGTATTATAAATTAGCAATCTAAATCGTCTAATAGTACTTCATTTCATATTGTAAGCCGTCATTTTGACAGTATCGGGTCATCTTCGGTCTAAGCAAATATAAATTGTTATGATAAAATTTTATGATTTTGAGAAAGATTTCAAATACTAATTTTATATGTACTTGTTATGCTTGAAGCGTTGCAAATTCCTTAATTAAGTTCTATATTTTTGTTTGTATGTCTGTTGCTAACGCATTAGTGTCCTTTTTCTCAATGTCACGAAAAAAAGGTAATGAAAATGTCAACCCGAATAAAGTGTTAAATGGTGAGGTTGAGGCAATAGTTTAAATACTTTTAGCCATTGTGGAACTAACTTTCAACTATAGACTTACCTTAGGGATATGCCTCATAGATCTAGGCCTATAAAGCTCTTTTTAGTTTAATCATTGGATTTAACATATGGACCAACACGAGCCGCGTGACATTTAATTGCGAAGCATTTGTTTTGGCTTGAAACAATCAGATACTGTATTTGCGAAGGTTTATTAGGTAATAGTTTTTCCAGCATATCTGAAAATATGCAAACCAACTGCTGTTCTTAATATAAGAAGGTTTCAACTGACTACTATAAGATCCCCGTGCGTAGAACGGGCACACAGCTAGTAAAAGTAATAAAATATTACAATTAAGAAACCTTTACGACTTTGTTCTTTAGATCTAGGCCTATAAAGCTCTTTTTAGTTTAATCATTGGATTTAACATATGGACCAACACGAGCCGCGTGACATTTAATTGCGAAGCATTTGTTTTGGCTTGAAACAATCAGATACTGTATTTGCGAAGGTTTATTAGGTAATAGTTTTTCCAGCATATCTGAAAATATGCAAACCAACTGCTGTTCTTAATATAAGAAGGTTTCAACTGACTACTATAAGATCCCCGTGCGTAGAACGGGCACACAGCTAGTAAAAGTAATAAAATATTACAATTAAGAAACCTTTACGACTTTGTTCTTTCTTCGAAACCAATTATGTTTCAATGTAACAATACAAAATAGTTTATGTTAAAATGGGTTTTATCAGTTTCTCGTAAAATACCAAATATTCTGGGGTAAGGTATTAGTAAGAACGAGGTTAGATTGTATAAGAACATTATATTTAGGAAACTTTGTAAAACAAAGAAACATATTTAGCCTAAACATTGCTAAAAAGAATAAGCTTTTTTAACTTCTGCCGCATACCAAGCTTTGACAGAGAAGCTTCTGCTGTTTTACGCTTAGAAATGCTGTGGCATATAATTTTGTTAAACATAATACCAATTAATTTGATTAATTTCATGTCATGGCTTTCCTCGCCAAATATGATTAAGAAAAACGTTACCAGCAAAGGTTCTACATGCTAACAAAATAGTTTTTGAAGGAGGTTATTGTAACACGCACGTGCGCCCAAGGTCAAGTGTCGAAGACACGGTTTCGCGCGCTTTATCCCACATGCTGCCTTCAATTTGCCCATGCGGCAACCCCGATACACTCCTGTATTGGCTCGGAAAGTTCTACACGACCCTTAAGCCTGGTTTACACGGGTCGAGTATGTCAGACGAGTTATTCGGCCCAGTTACTAGGCCCAGTTGTTGATTTGTTCAACTCGCCCGGTACTTGACTAGACTGTCTACACGCATTCCTATTTCGAACAGAAGTAATTTTTATTATTTATCTGTGTTCTGTGGTGTAGGGTATTCCGTATACCGTAGCTTTCGTTGTTAAATGTTGTTTGAGTTTAAAATGGGACTTCAAGAGTTTAATGCTGAATTTATAAATTGATTAAATCACTGAATTAGATTATTAGAATTAAAACTGAATCATCCATTTAATTCAGGGGTTGCTTAAAAGTTTTTTTTGCAAATACGATAGACCAAAGTGGAAGGTGATATACTAAAAGAATAAGATTTGTTACAAATTACCATACCGGTACTGCATTTCTTTAAAATAAAATATATAGGCAACCAAAAGTTGCCTCCAAATAAAAAAAATGTGAAAACACCGTTTTCAATGTATTTCTGATAGAAAATATTTTTAGGGAGTGAGCTATCTAACAACCCATTGATTAATAAAATCGTTCCAGTAGAACTGTAGATCTTAAGTTGTAAAACAATTTTGAAAACTGAATTTTATAAGAGTGAGTAGATTTACGAACAGCAAAACAATGCAACACAGGGCCAACTGTTCAACTGAACCATTTAGTATTGAGGGTGATTAGGCATACACTACTAAATACTGAACTAACTAACCCCAAAAACACTGATCGTTGTGATCAACTCATTGTCAGCGACCACAAAATAAAAAAAATATTTTTATTCTGTGGTCGCTGGACTCACTTGAGAGCAGTAAACAGATGTTTTGCGGGCAAATCGTGGTGGTGGGGGTAGCTACTGGGCCGAGTAACTCGGTTTTCAACTAAATCACTCGACTCGCTCTCAACTGACCTCTTTTTATCAACTCGCCCGTTGCTCGACTCGCCTGCATGTCTACACCAAGCGAGTAAAAGAGCGAGTGGCAACTCGCACACTGACTCGCCCACCGTACTCGACCCGTGTAAACCAGGCTTTACGGCCTGCGCGCAATCCAGTTAGTTTTATCATTGACTATATAACACTAGTGTTATATAGTCAATGGTTTTATATGTCGATGGCTATTGGCTGGCACTGCTGGCTGGTGTATGTGTACTAATTGGTGTGGTGCTGCCGAAAATTTACTATTTTAGAACGAATATAATCTGTTGATTTATTTCTAGCAGAACTTATTATCATTTATCCTGTATGATACAACCATGAACGGTCCATTATCAATGTATAGTTTGAAGCCTCTAGTTTACTTTACAAATCCTGTAGACTTGACACCAACCATGTATGGAATGAAGAATATTTATTGGCGTTCGAATTTCAATTATCGTGGAGAAAATAGTCTTCAAGATAGCCTTCCCAATGTTTTGGAACAGGTTAACAATCTCTTAAAGGTTTTAAGTTATAATGTTCTCAGCCTAAAATCTACTTTTAAGAATAGGCCTAGGCCTAAGGCCCTAACCTTAATAGCTTATCAAACGATCAATTGTTTGATATTTTAGCCTAGTCCAAATAAGTTACCTACTTACACACATTTTACAAGCCTCTACCCTAATTTAGTCCATTTAAATTTTAATCTCAAATTCTTGGGTACGGTACAGTTTCTGAACCCAACTGGGTTAGAACCTGAACTGGGCTGAGTTTTTTAGGCTAGGCCTACTAACTTGTCAATAAAAATATTGATTCGATTTTTAGGCCTAAACCGTCATTCGATTTTTTCATTATCAGCAAAATTGGTTGGTTAGGTTAGGTTATAGGTACTTACCGGTAACAGTTTCATTTTATAATTGGCAAATATTTACTCCCGAAAACGGGATTTTAAGAGCATGAGCGGGATGAAAATGGGATGCGGGATAGAACGGTATTTTCAACTATGACATCTGTTGTTATTTTAAATGGTTTAAGTTATTTTAGCGAATAACTAACCCCAATTGATAACATTACTGTAGCAAAATATAATAGCAATGTTTAAACAAATATTTAAACACGATAGGCTACTTATACGTCTAATAACTTATAACACTCAGAATTGAAGAAAAAATCTTTCAATATAAAACGGGATTTTTCATTATTCAAAAGTGGGATTAAACAGGCTTTTTGGACACAGTAAGCGGCAATTGTATTATTGGCCGTGGGGAACACTGGTTGAGGGTTGGAATGAAGGCGATCATGTCGGCAGTGACCTAGCTTCTAATAACTTACTGGTATTTTATGAGAATAAATTCTATTTTTTGTTATATTTTTTTATACTCTTATGATTAATATCTAGCCCAACAATAACTTAAGTTAACTGGTGGTTGGTATACTTAGTTTATGTATCGTAGTTGATTTATCAAATTTTCTAACGGCACCAAAGTCCATTTGCTTTTAAAAATTGAATTGTATATTGTAATTATGATTTTACTCTCATATCGTCGTGTGTGGTTTTGTCTGCTTACTTAGTATCAAATGTAGGCTAAACAACTGACAGCTGTTTACACTCCACAAACCTTCCTTCCCTTTCAGTGTTATTCGCTACCGGTACTAGAACTTGGACTCGTCTAAACCACAAATATGTAAATAACTTAACAAAACTGAAGCTTAATATTAATAATTTCACCGTACGCCCACTTAGGAATCTCTCCGACAAAAACTGATTGCATTTTTGGATTCAGCGTGAAAAATACTGTAAACTTAAGTTGTAGACATCTATAAATTACATCATATCCCAGTGTAGATATACAGTACCTAGGCCTTTTAAGTAAAATAATTAGCCTACCTTAACCCTCTATCTGGCGCTGGTCGATTTTCGACCACTAAAACGTGAGTTCTCAGTGGCGCTGGTCTATTATAGACCAAGAGGACATGGGTCGGGTTTTTCTATTATTAAAATATGAAAGCCGTTTTAAAACACAATAAATCTTATACCATTAGAAAGATGAGATTCTGAGGATTCATTTTCATGCATAAAACATTATTGAGTGAGCATTATGTAACGAGAAACATAGTTTGAAAAACTAGAGAGTACAAAATAGATTTTGGCGGTGGAAAGTTTTGGTCACCTGACTTACAAAAACAGCTGTTTTTGGTGATTGTCAATTAAATTGTATACAATATTAGTACATATTCTGAAACTAAAATAAATTCCCTACAATTCCCTCTGAATCTATAAGGTTGATTGTACAAATTTTATTTGTTTTTAAAAATGTCATAAAAACTATGTTTTTGTAAAAAAATCTTCAAAATTTTACATTCCAACGTAAATTTCTCTGAAATTTTAGAATTCAACTAAATAACTATATATTTTCAAAAAGATCTTTTATTACCTATTGTACAGTATCATTTTATTTTTTGTTGATGAATTCTATTATTTCCTACGTGACCAAAAGAAATTTGGTAGTTTTTCAAAAAAGAAAATATGTATGTAGAATTTATTTTTTTATAATTTTATTTTTATGAGTATTTAAAAAACATTGGTATTTCTACGTAGGGAACCAAATTTCACACAACCTTTAGGCCTACATTTAGATAAAATGTGTAAAAAAATTATTTTGTAGTATTCTTGTGGGTTGCTTTTAAAATTTCTAATTTGCATAATCCAAAAATTTGCAAACCTTTTGCTACTACGCCTAAACGCATTGCTAAGAAAAAAATATTTTTATATTATTATATTCTAAATTTATCACTGAAACAGAAAATATATATGTGTGTACTTATATTCACAAATAAATGTTCTGTGGCAAAATATATGATACCACTACAAAAGCGCCAAAATATACCCGCCACTGGTGAATAAAATGACCGCCAGATCTAGGGTAAAAAAAACAAAATTAAGGTTTATACTAATCGAATCAGTATTTTGAATCGCTGCGTAGCCCATTTAAAAAATCTTAAAAAAACCACACCAAAAATCTTCAAAAATAAGGTAACTGCTTGGCTTTTAGACAATCCATTTTATAATATTTATGAATTTTTAAATACATGTGTAGAAATTAGTTTCTGGCTGTAGGTAGATTTATGACAACCTGTTTTAATTTAATTTAACTCTATGACAATGCCTATCTCATGTATATGATCAACGGCAAATAAACCATTTCATTTAATTTAAGAATCTGTAAGTTAGGCATACCCAAAAGTTTTATCAAACTTTAGAGGAATTATCCAGAAAATTAGTATAATAAGTCAACCATCAATGTTTTGGGGGGTAAAGTTTCTTATTATCTGAGCAGCCCTAATAGGCCTATTACTTAATTGAAAAAAAATTAATTAGGACTAACTTAATAATTCATTAAACCTAACTTAGATTCAATATTTTCATAAAGCAAGTTTGGTTACTAATATAATATAAATACCTCGTCACAGCTCTGAAGTTTCTGTAGATTACAGCTGTTTCGGCATCAAAATGCCATCCTCAGATATACATAAATCCACCTGAATTGGCGTCGTTAAACTGTACACACACACGAACACGATAAAAACACGTAAAACAAGAGACAGGCCTGTCTTGTACATGATTGCTACGAGTACGGAAGCTGAGTGGACAACTGCTAGTTCGTTCCAGCTGTGGCGGTATTATCTGCTGGACTTTGATCCCTTGTCTGTGGCTTGCTCCGTTTGATAATGTTATGAAAAATGGTGTGGGATTTAATGCAATTGATCATTTAGTATGGGCTCATTGCTGCTTTTTATTTTATGAGCTTTATAAATCTCATATTCTTCAAGGGTATCTAATCTATTTCCATTAATACAGGCGTGTAGAATTTCTAAGCCGTTGTCCAAATCAAGTAAGTCGTGATTGTTATCAACCAGGTGTTGCGTGAACGTGGATTTTTGTTTGTCAGTTTTTCCGTTAGGGCGATGTTCTTTGTACCTAATGCTAAAGGATCGTCCTGTTTTTCCAATGTATGTACTCGGGCTGTGATCTATCAAAGGCTTTTGACTGTGTAGACCATGCAGTCCTTTTAAAAAAATTAACTAAATATGGGATCAGAGGGTCGAGTTGGAAGTGGTTTGAATCATACCTAACAGGAAGAAGGCAAAAAATATCAATAATAATAGAAAACAATAAATATGAATCTGAGTATGACACAGTTGTAACAGGAGTGCCACAAGGCTCAATTTTAGGCCCAGTTTTATTTACTATATACACCAACGACCTCCTAGAGAATGTAAATGCCAAAATAATCATGTTTGCTGATGACACTACAGCACTCATAAAAGGAAAGCATTTATTAGATATAAAGGAGAACGCAGAGGCTACGATACAAGATCTAGAGCATTGGTTTGTTATTAATGGCCTTCATTTAAATACTAGTAAGACGAGTTTAGTTCATTTTAGAAACTTACAGAGTAGGGAAGGAGAGTTGAAGCTAAGAATTAGTGGTAATGATGTGAAATGCCAGAGTTCAGTAAAGTTATTAGGTGTTGTGTGTGACCAGAACTTAAATTGGCGGGAACATACGACACAGCTATGCAAGAAGTTAAATAGTATATGTCACAACATGAGCTGTCTAACTCATTGCACAAGTATTGAAACTAAAATGACACTCTACTACGGATATTTTTATTCATTAATAAAATATGGAATAGTGTTATGGGGTAATACTGAATTTTCTAAAGAAGTACTAACAGCACAAAAGAAAATCTTGAGAATAATGACTTTAACATGGCCAGGTTCTACATGCAAAAATCTATTTAGAAATTTGAAAATCCTTACAGTACCAAGTATTTATATTTATGAAACTTTAAACCACGTAAAGAACAACCTAACATGGTACTCAACTGAGAAAACCCAACACCATTACAACACAAGAAATAAAAATTTACTGGTTTATCCACACCACTCTACCACTGCTCTAGAAAAAGGTATTTATTACATGGGAATGAAACTTTTTAACAAATTACCAAACAACATGAAAGAAGCCGTCTCAGAAAGATTTTTCAGAGAATGTTAAAAGATTATTGATCAGAAAGGCCTACTACAAAGTTCAAGATTTCTTGAATGATACTGAAATATAATCTAGTGGTTCTAGTCATTTAGTATTAGTTTTGTTGTTTTTGTTGAATGTAATTTTATTTTTATATAATATGTTTGCTGTTACTTGTTCTGTATTTAATTTAATTTATGTTGGTAACAGCTGACCATGTGTAAATAGTTAGGATTGTTTTTATAGTAATGAGAATTGTTGAATAAGTTATGTTTGAGTAAAAATGTTGTGTGTGTGTACTTCAGTAAAATAAAAGATAATTATTGTAACAGTAAAACCTTAGGTGTGAGTAATTTACTTTCACTTAAGTTAACAGTTTTATATTATCTACTTTCATATGTTTATCACATTCAACACTTACGGGAATTATTTGTTTGTGTCAAAATCGTATATTATTGTTCATATATTTATTCTCTGTTAATTTTTTTGTTGCCATTTTGTTACCGGTAGATTTACAAATTTTATACCTTGTTATGTTTGAATATGTTCATGTTGTATTGTAGCACTAAATTTAAGACTGTGATCAACATCTTAGGAACCAATTTCCTGTTTTATTGTGTTTTTTTTTAGAATAATTAAGGACTGAGAATCAATTTTTAAGAGATCAAGACGAAGCACCTGTACATGTGATTTTCAGAAATTTGTATGTTATGTGCAAATAAATTATCATTATCATTATCATTATCGGACAACTAGCACATTTTATTTTATATACACCTGATTGGTCAGCTTTATTGTTATTTATCTTAGGTTTTAACTTAGGATGAAGTTGAATTTACACCCATTGCTATGTACAAAAGATAAGACGTCATCATCTACGAAGTTGTTTTCACAGATATTCTCTAAGAAAGAAGAAGCTAGTTTGAACTGTGGAGCGTTGTCCAAATATATCTCCAAAGGGTTTCCTCTTCTACTTACAAATCGCTTCGTGATGAGCAAGAGCCCGAACGGCGAGCACTTTGCATTTTGCATTCGTATCACACAAGGCACAGGGTCTTCCTCCACTGTGATTGTTGAAGTGTTGAGTGTTACACGATGGCGGTGGTGTTGGACTTTTCCCTAGACACCAGCTAGGTTAGATATCACTTAAGTGTACCATTGAATGTTTCCTCTGTAGCTACCTATAAAGGCTACTCATTTCTTCAGAGACTTCCTGCTTAGCCTTAGGGAGGTCCACTGCTAAGTTACTGCACCAGTTGGTGTCATTAGCATCCTCTCTGACACTACGTTGCCTTCCATCCTTTCCCAGTTATTTTATTGTGATTTCCCTTTTCCATATTTAATAACAGACAGCTTGATAGGGCTAAATTTACCAATAGGCCATCCAGGCCCTGCTTAAGAATGCAAAATATTTTACTTAAGTGGTTAATTGTTTTGGCTACAGTTACGCAGATATCAGATTAAATATCAGTTTTGATTAGGTTCAATATATCGCTTTTAAAAGTAGGCCTATTATTTTTTCTTAAGTAAACATCGAATTGAGTTAATATTATTAGTTTTAGCGAATTTCCCTATAGGGAAGTAGCTATTACCGTAGGTGGCACGGTAAGACATAGACCCGGGACCGATTTACTTTTTCATTTTGATGTCCCCAGAGGCCAAAAACACCATTCGTTCAAATTTTTATATATGTATATATATATATAGACTTATATAAAATTCTCGTGTCACAGTGTTTGTCTGCAAACTCCTCCGGAACGACTTCACCGATCGTTATGAAATTTGGTGTGTAAATTCTGTAGGTATGCGAATCGGACGTAAACTATTTCCAGTTTCGAAATTCTTAAAAGGGCTCCGCCCCAGTGGCTCTGGAGTTTCCCATGTTAACCTTATGAGAAATGGAATTAATGAATCTTAACAGCTGTTTCAATTAAACAAGTTGGTTCTGTTCTATGATGTTCAATAGCATTAAAGTTACAAGGATTACCAACAGGGTGCAGCACTATTATTTCTTTTACATTTATGACAACAGCTAATTTGCAACCAAAAGGTGAGTGAGCGTAGCGAACGAACTTCAACCTGGAGGCAAGTTAGCGTAGCGAACGAGCTAACCTGAAGGCAAGTGAGCGCAGCGAACGAGCTCCAACCTAAAGGTGAGTGAGCGTAGCGAACGAGCTCCAACCTAAAGGTGAGTGAGCGTAGCGAACGAACTTCAACCTGGAGGCGAGTTAGCGTAGCGAACGAGCTAACCTGAAGGCAAGTGAGCGCAGTGAACGAGCTCCAACCTAAAGGTGAGTGAGCGTAGCGAACGAGCTCCAACCCAAAGGTGAGTGAGCGTAGCGAACGAACTTCAACCAGGACGTGATTGAGCGATGCGAACGAGATCATCTTGAAAGTTAAACGTAACGGTACTTTCTTTCCATCGGTCTGTCTTAGGGGAAACCTATAACTTAGGTGATACGAAGTTCGCCGGGTCAGCTAGTATATATATATATATATATACGTCCGTGAACGCGATAACTTGAGTAATTTTTGTCCGATTTTGATGAAATTTGGTTTAAAGGTGTAAAGCGGGATAAACTTGAATGAGTTCGCGAACCAGCACCATCGGACCATGGGAACGGGGCTTTACGGGGGGTTTTATGGGGTAAAAATTGGTTTTTCTCACTTTTGACCCTCAAAACACAAAATTTCCCGATTTCTCTTTAGACCTTTTTAAAGAGCTTAAAAAAACAAATAATTTAGTATATAAAAGTATTTTTGTTTGATTATTAGTAACGAAGAAAATTAAAAAATTGTAAATTTAAAATTCCCATGTTATTCTTATGGAGAATAATGTCAAATCTTGTAGTTTGCTTGTTTATGGATATATTTTGATCACACTTGGCAAATTTATTTATTTTGTACTAAGCTATCAATATTTTACTCAAAAACACACTTTATTAGTTTCCTTGTAGCAGCAAACCTAGGTACTCGTTAAACCTAATGTTATTAAAATATATTTAACTGAAAATTAATTCAGACAAATGGAAATTCGCTTAGTCAGCAGGTTTGCTGCGGCAGGGGTATTTTCCATTTTTATTGATGATTAATAAATGAAACTATCAATATCCAACCAAAATAAAGACTATTTTATTTATGAACCTTAACAAAACAAACAATAACTTAGGATTAAAGTCTCTGCAATTTTCAGTCTACAAATTTAGGGTAAAATTAACCATCAACTTTATTGATGTTTTTATTCATGGTAGGTTAGCCTATACAAAAATTCAATGTGATAGTAATATTGAACCAAATCAAAATTTATAATATCAATATGTAATCCAGTAATATATTGTAGGTTAACTGCGGGACTGTACCCATTGTTTTGTCAGCAAACTTCTGAATGTTATAGGCTACAATAGATGTCTACATTCATTTTCAATCCTTTATGCATCCCGGTAGCCTATTCAAGTTCGAGAAAACACACCCACCTGCAGCAGGCTCTTAAAGTTTGATCTAGAAAGTGAACGATTCTGGCCTGGCATTTGGACCTCATAGTCTTTTTAAACCTTGTTGAAAACCCAAAAGTTCTTGCTTAACAATTTAAAAATAGACTAGAAACAAACTTTAACATAATACCTAAACTGGAAATTCCAATAATTTTATGAAAGCTTATTTACTTCTTGAATGTCAATATTAGTTTGATTTAAATGTATCATGCACACTTGTAGGATTTTCTATGTACGGTAGGCTACTACGGTTGAAAATATACATCTGTAATTGCATGATGAGTATCAAACAATTGTAAGAAAACTTCTTTGTAAACAAATTCCTTTAAACTGAATTTAATGCTGGTTTATCAGTCTTTTACTCTAAGATTCTGTCGTTATTTATAGCATCTCTACTTTAATCAAATTAAAATGTTGTTTGTGTTCAATGAAATGCGGTACCATATTATACTGTAATGATTCCCCATGTCTTGTTCTACAATAATACAAAATTGTTGTAGGCCCAACTTCTGAATTCTTGCCAGGAGTTATAAAATACTGTAGCATAATTTAATCCTTTGAAAGTCGCTAGATTTGGATTTGATGTATACTACATTTTATTTTTCTAATTGGTCACACATCACAGACCAACTAATTGCTCGTCTTCCTCATAAATTTCCACCAGATGAGCAAACTTAATTTTAAAATGCCGTACTGGCGTATGTGACACAAGCAAAAAAATAGATTGATTACTTACGGTAATATTAAAAAATAGTGCTTGTCATTAAAAGTTATGCTGTTGTCATTTTTAGGGATCAACATCTGAAGTAGAAGATCTAAAAAAAAGACAAGAAGAAATTTTGAAACAATTGGCTTTTCTGAAGGAACAGATGCTCTTTCTTAGAGAAGAATTAACTAAAGGAGCTACAAACGTAAAACTCTCCGTAGAATCAAACTGTAACTTAACCGTTTCTTCGTCACACCTAAGAACCACCAATAATCCACATTGGGTAAGGTTTCAAATTAATGATAATTTTTGATAATGCTTCTTAACTTGGTTCATACAAGTGCTTGCCTCATTACTTTATTTTTATTAATAAATCCTATGTATTTTTTCTGATTTTGTGTTTGTGCTTTGGATCACCGAAAAGAATCTAGTTTTGGATTATTATTCTTAAATAATAATTTAAATAACTTCTTGATTAGTATTTTCCGATTGGGCCTGATGTTCATCGGTTTGACTAGTCTAAATTGATTGCCATTATAACAATATATATATATATAACCAAAGAACACTTCAACGGCAAACCCACACTGGATGCTTATAACTCTGCGTTCAAAGATCTGACAGACAATATTAAGACCAAGAGCTTCAGAGTGCAAAATCTGCTCCCCAATGGGGTGTGTCCGAGATCTCGTGCAGATTGAGCATTTTTCCATGAAGATAAACGAGTTTCATGATATCACCGGTGTACCGGTCATAGTTGTCACCAACATGCAACCAGGAGCTCAGCTTGTTCTCCATCATGGACTCTCCCATCCCCAATTCACCCTCAAACTCCGACAAGAATTACAAAAAGTATCACACTCAAGAGAAGTGATTTCACAACAACAATTTCAACTTCAGCTACAATCACCACCTAGTAGCCCTCAACAGCAGTTATAACCGGATCAGCATCCCTCAACACAACAACATCCCTCTGCAATAGAAGTAGTGGCTCCACAGGCTCCCGAACGGTTCCTGGTCATCTCAACTACAATGAGGTGTTGAAGAGGAAACCATCAGTATCAAGTGCCAAAAAGCAGAGTAAATGTGTTGTGTCAAGTGGTGAGAGCAATCAGGTGATAGATGTAGATTCCTCCTTAGATAATAGCTTACATAATTGTCTTTAAACTAAGATATCCTGACAATGACCAAATGCCTGCTAAACTAGTTCTAGAAAAATTTTACAATCACAACAGTATAAAAGCCCAGAGTAATATTAGCTCAGATTCATTAAAAAACAGTGATACTTTTACAGTAAATTTAATTTAGCAATGCACTACAATTGTCAGGGGTTAAATTCAACCAAAATATCAGAGCTCAATTTATTTTTATCACAGTCCAAATTAAATATTAAAGTCATGTAATTGAATGAACTTTGGTTGGATAATGATTCTATTACTTTACTCAATACAATAGATAATTTTAGAAGGGCTGACTCTCATGTCAGAAATAGTGGCCTAAGGGGTGGTTCATGTATATTAGTTGATAATAATTGTAATACTTAACTGTAGGCCTACAGGAGTTTTCTTATTCAAATGAAGATTTTATTTTTGAATGTTCTGCTATCAAACTTGTAGATTTCAATCCAGAATTTTTTTCCATTTATACAGTGCCAAATGATAATTTAGGCTAAGTAAATTGTTTTTGGACAAACTTGAAAAGCTACTTGTTAGTTTTATAACAGGAGATTTTAATATAAACATTTTAAAGGATTATGTAGTCACAAGTAGGTTTAAGGAAATTGTGGAATGTAACTGTTTCTGTTTGCATTTTAATTAGCTACTTGAATAGCTGTCAATTAATTTATAATTGTATAGTGTAGGATTATTGTTATCAGCTGAGTTATAAAGCTATGAATCATCTGGTATTTGGTTTGTTTACATTATTGTTTTGTTTTGTAAATAAATAGTTTTGATTGAGTTTACTTAAAATGAGTTTTATTAATTAATTATTCTATATTGGCGATGAGAAAATGCCTAGGAAAACAGACCAGTCTCAGTATAAGAGTGTAATTGACAGTAGTAACATGTCTTGCATACAAGATAGAATGAGCAGATTTTCATTTAACCCTCCGAGCGTCACTTGTCGAAAAATCGACTCACGACACACTTTGTGTAGTGTCCCTTGTCGATTTTTCGACACACGAACATCGTTTACGGCGAAGGCTCTATGACTGACTGAATCGGATTGAACTGGATCGAGTTAGGTATCGTTCTTTTTGTTAGATTCTAAGCTTTCTCCAGAGGTCTGTTTCTAAGCGCTATTCATTTTAGTTCCGAAAATATTGTAGCAGACAGCTGACGTGTGTATTTGTAAACAGCTCGGTTAACCTCGGACCGATGACTGATGTGTTTTATTACGTTTATCATTGTTTTAGTGTTGAAAATCAAAAGTAGTGATATACGTGGTGCATTATAAGAAGATTTAAGTGATTTTGAAGGGCTGGTTGATGATCCTAAAGAAGTAGGTAGTGATATTGATGTAAATTATCAGCCAGATTCCTAGCTATGGTTAGGCTATGCATTCTTAGCTAAACGCTATGTACTGAAATCTGTTTTTTGCCCATAACTTATTTATTTGCTAATCTACTTCCTTATATTATTATATATTTGTAATCCTCATAAAATTTAGAACAAAGTGGCTATTTTCAAATATTTATAGGCCTATAATTTAGACAATTTCATTGAGCGTGAACTTATTTTTTTTTTCAATTTTTCCAAAATAATTTTTATTTTTACCTAAAGTTTTTTTTTAAACAAATATTCCTTATGTTTTATGTATGATATTGAAGCCCATGATTTTCCAAACAAAATGGTATATAGAACAGTAGAATTAACATTGTTTTAAGCTTCTCAGATCCGTTTTAATAAAACCTTGCAAATGCACCAAAAATAGGCGGACATTAAGGCCTAAACTATGGACACTCGGAGGGTTAAAGAGTATAATAGTGAACAATTCTGGGAAGACTACATAGCTCGTTTAGAGTTGACCTGCAGAGTTATGGGACTGGGTGGTGCTAACACGGAAGAACAAGCGGCTCGGCGAGATCTTCTATTGGCAAATATCGGAGAGGAGCACCTCAGGGCACTGTCGGACCAGATATATCCAAGGGCCTGGGAGGAGTGCACCTACGACGTTCAAAGAGGAATCCAACCGGTTGTTAAAGCCTACACGGACCCTTTTTGCAACAAGGTTTGAGTTTGAAAGAGCAATAAGAAAAGATGGTGAGACATTTATTTGTTTTATAACAGATTGAAGTCTTTAGCTAGAAGTTGTAAATATGGAGATAGCTTAGATGAAAGAGTACGAGATAGGTTTGCAGTAGGAAGTAACTGTCCAGAATTTGAAGTTGAAGTCAGACAAAGATGGCCCGAGGGAGTTAATAACCATGGTGAGCGTGTTAAGTCAACAGTAGTACTAGAGTTAGCTCAATCTATGGAACGCGCAAGAGAAGAAGTTTCCAAACTTTCGTATAAAAATGAGATTTTCAATGTAAGTGACAGTAAGGAAAAGAGGAAACCAGAGGTACAGAAATCTACTCGTTTCAATAGGTGTTATAGATGTAGGTTTACAAATGACCCTAGTGAAGATAGGTGTCCTGCTGTTTCTGCTGTGTGCAAGAAATGTTCAAAGAGAGGCCACTTCGCAAGAATGTACAAAAGTAAAAATAATTTTTTCAATAGAACAGGCGGTAATTTGAGAAAAGTAGATGATTATCGTTATCAAACTTACGATGATGAGTGTAGTTCTGATATTGATGTTAGCGGGACACAAATTAGGTAAGTCAAGAGTAAGGTTCCCAGAGCTGCAATAGATGTAGAATTGAACGGGTATAATGTTAGAATGGAGTTTGATTCCGGGGCTCGGGTAAGTGCTATAAGCTTGTCTCTTTGGGATAAGATCAATTCAAGAGGTGAATCTCTCAAAAAGACGTCTGATGTCATAACTGGCTATGGGAAAAATAAACTAGAAGTCATGGGTAAGGCTTTTGTGGACGTTACTTTACGTAATCGTACTAAACGATTGCCAGTTATTGTATTACTGATGATATTCCATTATTTGGGTTGCCGTGGAGTGTATCTTTCAATCTTAATTTGCCTAGGGAAGTAAGGGTTAGGCGTATTGACAATGGAAAGACAAATAGTAAAGAGACAGATAAAAATGAAGAAAGTTATAGAAAAGAGTTACAAAAAGAAGTTGAGGCATTAACCCAGGAGTTTTCCAAACTCTTTCGTGATGAGTTAGGAACGATATCTGACTCTAATGAAGTTATACATCTAAAAAGTGGAACAAAACCTGTATCTTACGGGGCACGACGAGTTCCATTCCCCTTAAGGGAGGCAGTGGAGCGAGAATTGCAGCGATTAGTACAGGAAGGAGTTTTGGAAGCAGTGGACCCTTCCGAAACACTTATAGAATGGAGTACCCCAACAGTGAACGTAGACAAGGGCGGAGGTAGAGTCAGGATCTGTGGCGATTTCCATACAACCTTGAATCAAAACATCGTTCCGGAAAGACACCTCTTGCCAACCTTTGATGACTTGACTTCCAAATTAATTGATGGAAAGATATTTTCAGTCATAGATCTTCGAGACGCATACTTGCAAATGAAAGTACACCCTGAGTCACAAAAGTATCTTACAATAGCAACTCATGTAGGCTACTTTCGCTATAAAAGGTTGCCTTTTGGGCTTTCCTCGAGTCCGGCAAAATTTCAAAGGTACATGGAAAGTTTAAGTTTACTAAAAGGACTTAATGTCGGAGATATAATCATTTCTAGTAAGGATAAGACTACCCATATAACCACTCTTAGAGAAGTTTTGAGGCGGCTAGAATCAAGAGGAATGAGAGCAAAACTGTCAAAATGTAAGTTCTTTCAGAAATCTGTAAAGTATTTAGGTCATACAATAGATGGAAATGGTATTCATCCCTCCGAAGACAAAGTTGAAACCATAAGACACGCACCAAGGCCAAGAAACGTGAAAGAATTACGAGCTTTTCTAGGAGCACTAAATTTTTACGAAAGGTACATACCTGATCTTCATGCGATCGCTTCGAACTTGAATAAGCTGACTGGTACGAAGACTAAATGGAAATGGACTGACACCGAACAAACTACGTTCGACAAGTTGAAGAATATCCTGTCATTAGAGAAGACATTAATTCCATACGACATATCAAAGCCGATCATTGTTGAATGTGATGCTAGTGAACAAGGGGTTGGTGCAGTGCTGTTACATTTGATGCCGGATGGAACGGAAAGGCCAGTCATGTACGCCTCGAGGACACTAACGGAAGCAGAAAAAAGGTATGCTACAGTTGACAAGGAAGCACTGGCGTTAGTTTTTGCCGTGAAGAAGTTTAGACAATACCTCAGTGGGAGTTTGGAATCACTAAACTACATTCATTCAGCTAAAAACGACCTCCCAGCATCAATTCAAATCAACCATAGATATAATTTTTAGAATTTTAGAATTTTTTTAGAAACATTTTTAGATTTCCAAGGCACCGTTTAACCCTTTATGAAAAAAGTCCGCTATATGCTGGGCTGATGCTGTACAATGTGCTACCTGCAAACTATAAATTGTAAGTGAAAATAATTTTAAAGATTAAATAGGTGAACACTTAATTGACAGAGCTTTTTATTTAATTGCAGATTTTCACAATACCTCTTTAGTTTAGAATAGTTTTATCATTCAATTTTGTTAATTTACATTATCTTCTTGATTACTATTTTATTTTTTATATTCTGATAATTTAACTCTGACAATGCATCTATTCTGTATGTACCAACACATGTAAAGAATGTTATGTGCAAATAAAATATGTCTATGTCTTGTAGCAGCAAACGTAGGTACTCGTTAGACCTAATGTTATTTAAATAGATTTAATTGAAAATCAATTCAGACAAATGGAAATTCGCTTAGTCGGCAGGTTTGCTGCGGCAGGGGTATTTAGAGTAGTTACTGTAAACTGCAAGCTTGCATTAACAGTGTTGCCAATCTTAAAAATGAAATATTCTTTTTAGACACAATGTGATATAATAGAATTTGATTTAATAACATAATAATTTGTAATATTGAAATGAATTGTAATTTAAACTTTAATAATAACTAGCTGTTACCCAAGGGCTTCACCCCGTTTGACTTCATAAGTATTAATAAAACTATTGATTAGTTTAGTTAAGCTGAAAGGAACAAAACAGAATACAGTAATACAAACAAATAATCACACCTGATTTTAATAAGGTATAAAATTGAAAGAATAACATACAAATAAGTACAGCTGAGTTATTTTTAACATTAGGTATATGGAAAGTTCCCTTTAGAAAGGATTTGTCTGAATAATAATTGTAGAATTACACGTTTGTACCAAATTTTATTGAAATCAGATAATTTTTGCTTGAGTTATCGTGCTTACGGACCCAAATATGTATGAATTTGAACAGATGGTGTTTTTGGCCATCAAAACACAAAAGTAAATCAGTCTCGAGTCGTGGGCTTACCATGAGACCTGACCTATGGTAATAGCTTCTTCATTCCCCCTAAATGGGAAATTTGCTAATATACTGACGTGTGGCTTGGTTTTTAACACACAGACAATGCCTTTAATATCAGGATTGAATGTAAAATCGCAACTTAGTCTCAACATAAAACCTAAATTTATTTATTTTTATCTAAGAAAAGTAAAACTTTGAGAATTTTTGCTTCATATAAGTATACTCCTGATAAATTTTTTTTCCAGGATGGTCTGGCTGGTGAGATGGTGATCAACGCCAGCCCAGATAACCCCCCTTACTCTCTGTTGGCGGTGAATCGGTTGTGGCCAGAGGCTCTTAGGCTACAAGTTGTCTGCCACACTCACTCGTCTCTTGTGTCTCTTTCCCCCCATTTGTCATGTTTCTCTTCACTTTTCTTCACACCAGGTCCAAACGTAAAGGCTCGTCTCATCTGGAGTAACAGTATGTAACAATATTTCTTACTATATTTTTGAATTATTTGTTAGAATCCCTACACTGAAATTCCCCCTAAGTGTTTTTTTAGGGGTCCCAAAGCTATTTGTGTTTGATATGAAACATTTTTTGCATTTTGGTGCTAGATTTTAGCCTACATATTTAGTAACATGTAAAATATATTAGGGATGGACGGGATTGAATTTTTAGTTCGGGACGGGACGGGACGGGATTTTTATTTCCTTCCCGATTTTCGGGACGGGACGGGACGGGATTTTTTCTGTGCATAAAAAGAAAGTCTTGAGTATTGCAGTTACCAAAAAAAGACATACAAAATCAATTTTTACCGTTTGTGGTTCTGATCTATAAAAACCAAAAAATGGGTAAAAATATACAGGTACCTATAGAAACTTGTGACTCGCGGTCACGGTGCGATCGTAAAAATGACCGCGGTCACGGGGTGATCGTCGGCATGACTCGCGGTCACGGGATAATCGTCGGTATGACTCGCGGTCACGGTGATCGTCATTATGACTCACGGTCACGGCATGATCGTCATTATGACTCACGGTCACGGCATGATCGTCATTATGACTCATGGTCACGGCGCGATCGTCGGTAGGACTCCACGGTCACGTCGTGATTGTCGGTATGACTCCACGGTCACGGGGTGATCGACGGCATGACTCCGCAATCACGGCGCGATCGTCGGCATGACTCCGTGGTCACGGTGCGATCGTCGGCATGACTCCGCGGTCACGGGCGCGATCGTCGGCATGACTCGCGGTCACGGTGCGATCGTTGGTAAGACTCCACGGTCACATTGTGATCGTCGGTATGACTCCGCGGTCACGGTGCGATCGTCGGTAGGACTCCACGGTCACGTCGTGATCGTCGGTATGACTCCGCGGTCACGGCGCGATCGTCGGTAGGACTCCACGGTCACGTCGTGATCGTCGGTATGGCTCCGTGGTCACGGGGTGATCGCCGGTATGACTCGCGGTCACGGCGCGATCGTCGGTAGGACTCCACGGTCACGTCGTGATCGTCGATATGACTCCGCGGTCACGGGGTGATCGCAGGTATGACTCCGCGGTCACGGCGCGATCGTCGGTAGGACTCCACGGTCACGTCGTGATCGTCGGTATGGCTCCGCGGTCACGGGGTGATCGCCGGTATGACTCGCGGTCACGGCGCGATCGTCGGTAGGACTCCACGGTCACGTCGTGATCGTCGATATGACTCCGCGGTCACGGGGTGATCGCAGGTATGAGTCCGCGGGCACAGCGCGATCGTCGGTATGAGTCCGCGGGCACAGCGCGATCGTCGGTAGGACTACACGGTCACGTCGTGATCGTCGGTATGACTCCGCGGTCACGGTATGATCGTCGGCATGACTCCGCGGTCACGGCGTGATCGTCGGTATGACTCCGCGGTCACGGCGCGATCGTCGGTATGACTCGCGGTCACGGCGCGATCGTCGGTAGGACTCCGCGGTCACGGCGCGATCGTCGAAATGTCTTCGTCTCCTGCGTTCGTGGACCTATCGCTCGCAATAGCGGCGTCATCGGCACTCGCGAAGCGGCAAAATCGCAGACGATCGGACCAAATCCCGTCCCAAAAAATTCCCGAATCAAATGTAATCCCGTCCCGATAATCGGGAATATTTTTTTCCCGAAAAATTCCCGAAATTTCGGGACCCGTCCATCCCTAAAATATATTAATAAAAATGTGAAACTAATACCATACAGACGTAAACATCCCATATATATGGACCAGCTGTCGACAATTTTGTACTTAAAAAGAATGTAGTTGTGTGAGCCAGTCACAGAATTCGCTAGTGTAGTGTCTAAAATTCTATTTACTGACCTATTTATTGTTGCTGACTTAGTTTATGGGTCATAACAGTTGTTATAGCGCATAATGTCATTCTATCAGTTTGACTTAGTAAAAAAACATAGTGTATTTGACAGGAATTAATAATTTAGATCAATGCTATCTGTCTGGGGCTTTCATCGACTACAGTAGACTCTCAGTTATCTGGCAGATATAGGACAGTGATACTGCCGGATTACTGGAATGTTATCAATAAAAACACTTAAAATGCACTTAGAACATGTCTCCAAAGTACGCACGATCAGAAACAGCTATTGCCGCAATCGGACATGACGACGATGATGTTTCCGTAATCGTGGGAGTCGTTGTAACGCCTAAACATCCGCAGGAGATGTTCATGATTTTGCCTCGATCGTGCATGACATCGATGATGTTTCCGTGACCGCGGGAGTAGATTATGATGTCTAAATGGCTGCGGGAGATTATCAGAATTTTGCTGCAATCGCAGAAGACCTCACCCGTCAAAAGACGCCGGAGTGGTACAGTGCCAGATTAGAGAGGGTCTACTGTACGATTGCCTGCAGTGCCCTCGGTCTGCACTTAATTTTACAGAATTTGTAGAAGACTTTTAGTCTAATTGTTATATAAAAAAACCTTAGGTAGTAAATTAAAATTTCTTTTGCCATTTTGTTCACAATAAAATTGTCTTAAAAAAATGTGCAGTTAGATAATCAAAATAAAAAAAAATGAAAAAAATTTAAATAGTTTTTTAAAAGTAAACTTTATTTACAAGTTCTGAGATTAATCCAGACACCAAATGACACTATTATCATTAAGTTCAATTGATTCCCTACGTAGAAAAATCACAAGTGTTGTTTACTTCTTTAAGTACCTTGCAATGGGTTCAGTATGCAAAAGAGACAATGTTGGTTCTTTGAAAATGCCTTAAAAATGGTTTCACACCTACCATTTAAATTAGAAACGAACAAACTAAACTGTATTACTTAGCTTGATAATAGTACGTCTTTGTTAACTCAGACTGTGAACACTTATTTATGCTACCTAGGATACAAAGTCAATGATAGATTTTAGGTTCAGTAGAACCTCTTTAATCTGGACCCCCATTATCCGAACGCCTCATTGCTGTACTCTATACACAGTACACTAGTTCTTTATTGTATACTGTATTTATTGATATACACACCGTGATTGTTTCTATTGTAATGTACAGTACTGTTTATTCACTATGTTTACTACTGTATTAAATAAACACTGTATTTTACTTTATAAAACATTTTGCACTTTTCCCGTAACAATTACAATTCATTTTAGCCACGTTTTAGCTATTGTTATGTTAAAACAACAATCTATCTTCTATATATATAATACGGTAAGCCAATTTTTGTAATCAGAACTCCTCCCTCATTTTTGGACCGATTTTGATGATTAAAGTGTCAAAAAAATTGCCCTGATCTGTAGTTTTGCTAAGTGTTTTTAATTTTTTGAAATCTTTATCAGTGTGGGCAGGATCTTCCATCAAAGTTGGGTTTTCTCCCATAAGATTAACATGGGAAATCTAAATATTTAATTGGAAACTTTGTCTCCACAAATTTGAGAGAACGGCTGGGCGTAGAAACTTGGTAGAGGTGTCAAAAGAAAGGTCTCGGTCTGTAGGTGAGCCATCAAAAGAAAAACAAAGTAAATTCCCTTAGGGCTCTGCCTCAGAATCCTTTAAGTTCCCTTGCCAGATTGGTTTACATTATCGTCATATGGATAGTTTTTCACTTCTTTATAATGAGACAGCTGTTAGTATGTAAATTGCATTTTAAACAACACATTTTATAGGGAGTTACTGAGTTTGTCAAAAAGAAGTATTTGCAATGTAATTTTCTGATTTTAACATTTATTTTGTTCTGCATTTTTGCAATATAACGTTCAATTACGAAATCATTGAACAATCTTAATATTAGGCCTACAGTAACTCTTAAAATGATTTCTTATCGAATTATCATATATCTATTGTACAGGTTGGTGTCTGCTTTTTGACCACTTTTGCAGATATTTTGTCATTTTTTTCAAGACATCATCATAGGTTCATGAGATTATTTTCATACATGTTTTCAATTATTAGAAAATATTTTGATTGTGTAATACAATACAAAATAATACAAGTGCAGAAGAGCACGTTGCCCATATGAGCCGTGTCCAGAGCCATTTTAATGGATTGTGATATTTATTAATTCGGCTTATATTTCTTTTAACCAACAGATTATTCATTTGCAGAAGAAGTTCATTGTGCTCTTATCGTGTCTAATAACATCCAAACACAGAATTCTTGCCTGAAATAGTACCTATATCGTGACAGATGTTTTGCAGTGGCCTATTACGGACCGTGGCCCACTTGGTTAGCCTTAAGTGAGATTTGTAAAAATAACACTACACTTTGACTCTAAAACAAATTTCACAAAGAGTAATTACCAATTAAGCAGTTACTGTTATGACAGAAAGGTCGTATTCCTTATGAACTATATCCTCATCCTTTCTAAGATACTTTGATTAACAACAATGCATGCAAACCATTTACGTAACAATTTACAGTATTTGCTTTTTGGAAATGCAGCATTGCTTTGTCATTTGCATTATTTGTTGCCAATGAAGCCGCATGACAATATGAACGAGGTCCCTCATTTCAAGAATAAAAGCCAGCTTTACTACAAGTATATTCCATTACACCTAACATTCCGAAGATATATTATATTGAACACTATATGTAATTCATAAGGCTGAGACAACTGACATCCGCATGTCATGGAATCAGAGTTATGCAAAAAAAATGTTATTGCGAAATTTATAGGGTTATTCATTGGCACATTTTTAGCGAATTTCCCATGGGGAATAAGCTATTACCGTAGTACTCATGGTAAGACCCGGACCCGGGACCGATATAATTTTTCATTTTGAGGTCCCTAGAGGCCAAAAACACCATCCGTTCAAATTCATATATATTTCACATTAATAACCAAAGCGGATAAAGGGAATTCAGTTGTTGTCATTAAAAAGAATGATTATAAAGAAAAAGTCAATACATTTCTTGAAAAAGGAAAGCTTAAACTGTTAACAAAAGATCCAACAGAAGAATTTATAAAAATAGTCAACTCCACTATTACAAATTG